CTCCCACGCCGCCGGGCTGTATTCTAGCCGCATCACACAAGCCCTTTACCCGCCCCCCTTAGGTTACCCCTACCCCGTGGACCGAGCCTCTTGTAGTTCCCTGTGACCGCGGTTTGGCACGTGATATACCGCCCCCCACATAACGGAGCCCAGAATTCGGCAATCACACCCAGCCCTTGCAGCCTGAAATTAAGAGAGTCAGTAAATACTAAAATTGCACCCCACTATTCGCATACTCATGTTACGATGATCCTAGATTGCGGGCCGGAGTTATACGACATCCCCCCTCAAACCAAAACACAAATTATATATTCACATCTAAGCGTATACATCTTTAAGAAAATCTTATCATGTGTAAAGCGAATACAACACAAGCCGAAACTTAAGAAATTTAATTTCAAAAGTTCTTGAAAAAGTAACATGCTAAACGTCTTTCTGCTTCTTTTAAATGAATATTTCACCGCTTGCTCGTGAGTTTGGAAAATATTTCTACAGCTCATAATATACACGACTATAACAAACAGTTAATATCTTTTTTTATACGACCTCCCCCACACCCCCCGAGACCTTTTTATCCTTGGTGATTTTTTTTCTAGGCTTTAAACGGGTTTCTAAGTGATTTCTACGAGAGTTTTGGGCCAATGGAATCCCACGAAATGCGGCCTAGCGTCATTAAGTATGGAAATATATCTTGGGCTAATTACTCGGTCAGCCTTCAGGCTTTATAAGATACGAATCACCTTGAACTTCAAGAAGATTTTTTTCTTTTGTGGTGCCATTTTTTCGCACCGTCTTCTATTGCAAATTTTTTTTTATTCGGTTTCTTTTTTTGTATATGTATATATTTCTTTGGAAGAATATGCTAAATCAAGACACGTCTTGAAAAATATTTTTCAACTCTACTAAGCATGTCGCAAAAATTTTATTATTTTAAATAAAATAAGTTAAGGCATTAAGTAAAGTTACTACTTGAAAATCATTTCTTAAAAATCTATTTAGAGTTACTCATAAAAGCGTGAGCTTAAGTTAATTAACTAACTAGGGATTCAGACATCTTTCAAAATTTATCAAATAAATATATTGCATATCCATCAATTTGGAAGTGACTGATATTATTATAATTTTTTTTTTTTAAGGAAAAACGGAGGAGAAAAAAAGAACAATGTAACTAAAATGAAAAATAAAGAGAAAATAATAATTCCGCACCCCCACACTAAATTTTGCATTGTCCTCAATGCAAATCTATGATGGCATAAAGTAAGCAGATTAAGCAAGTGAAGCACTTACATTTGGTATCGCTGTAAACAATCGAGCAATTACCTTTGGTCTGCAGCGAGGCATGAAAAACAAAAAAATTTTATTCCTTTCTTTTTTTTCTTTTTTTTTTCTTATCTTTTTTTTACTTTTTTTTTTCTTTTTTTTTTTCTTTTTTTTCTCTTTTTTTTTTTTCTTTTTTTTTTTAACCAACTGACAAGCATCTCACAATGAGCAGAAGAATAAATTCTTTTTTATTGTTCTGAACATAAACAATAACAATGTAGAATGAAATTTAAACATGAAGAGTTCTTGTTCTAACATTGAATCTTTGAATTACTTATGTTGAAAATTCTTCCCCGGCATTTTAAACAAATTCAAGATGATAATATCAATAAATATTTAATTTTTAAGGCATTTGGGGTGTTTCAGAACAATTCTTCTTCTTGGGCAACAGAGGTAGGTGGATATTGTTGGTGTCATGTCATGCATTTTGTATTTTCTTAATGAATTAGACTCTTGTAACTGTAAAATTTTGTTTTCGCAACACGCAATTTTACTGTTGAAGTTCTGAAAATTTGGTGTGTTTGATGTATTTCCAAAAATCTAAGGTCATCAAGAAAAAGAGTTCTTCAAAATTTAATTCAGAAGCAGCACCTGGTTTAACACACAGATGTTGTATGTATTCTCCAAGGACGTGATCTGGCTTCTTACTAAACTCTAACTCGTTCATGCAAAAATCTTCCTAAATACTGAATAACAACTATTCTTCTTCCTTCTTTGTCTTCTGATCTTTCCTGATTGTAGTTTATTTCGTAGAGGCTGATTATCTTGGTTGGTCCCCTGGAGTATAAAATGTTGAATCAGGCGTCATTCCATAAGGACAGCTTATTGACCCAGTTCTATACAGTTGATGAGCACATTTAATACGAAGTGGGGCTAAGAACTGTTCCTAAGATGAAGGTGTCTGCCTTGTGGAATTGGAAACAGGACTGGGTTTCCAAAACTGACAAATTACTGAAAATAAAGTCTCACCCTAAATCAGAATCCTTAACTTACCGCATAGGGGACGCCGTTGACAGAATCGTATAGCCAATGTATCAGGTGCATTTGGTTGGGTTCAGTACACCTAACGGCGGCAGGGTGAGGCCGCAACTCCATGCTGATAGACCTGAATATGGAAAATTGACACTTCGGCCCTAAGTCTAAAAGGGCTTATCAAATATGAGTATACCAATGATACATGAACATGATGGGGGAACCTGGATCTTTAAGTTTCAAAGGTATGGGATGTTGACAGATTTCACTAAATTTATTGGCGGCTAAAAAAGACTTTGCTTTGAAGCATTTATTCTCTCTCTCTTAGTGGCACATTCTTGTAAAAATTTAGCATAAGATGGATTTGTCAAGACTTACATGCTAAAGAGAGGAATGTGTGACCTTACCTGCTTGAATGTCTCTAGGGATCTTTCTCCATCCTGAGGAATGTTTCTAGACCATGCGTCTATCTGGAAAAGGGAGCACCGTCTAAATTTGCTATCAAAGAGGTTCAGGTTTCGGGTTTCAGGTTTTGGTCATGAACTGAGGGAAGTGATTGTTGAATAATTCATCAGAATGGAGAAAGGAGAAAGGAATTTGTACAGGATGAAAGTTTGACTTGGCGGAGTTACACTTGATTATCGACCATGTCTACTGACGGAAGTGAATGGATTGCATTCTTGGAGTTGAGCTTCATAGGATGAACTGCATCCTGTGTTATTAGGGTTGACCACGGGTTGACTCGGAAATTTTCCTATCTCTCTTTCACTCACGGCACTAGCTAGTTGCCCAAGTTGGGATTCTAATCTAGCTATAGCTTGAGTGTTGGAGTTGAGCATTTGTCCGGTTGATTGCATGAATGAATTCAACGTGCTAGATGTTTGAGTCAACATATTCGTGGTTTGAGTAGAGGCCTTAATTATGGTTTCTAAACCCCTTTCCAAGACATTGAGACGTTTATCTTGATCTGGATTGTGAGGAGTTTGAATTACAGCTTGATGAGGAGGAGACTGATTTTGATACGGCAGATTGGGTTGTTGAAATTGTGAATGAGAATTGAATGGAACTGTGTTTCCCCTAGGAAAATGTTGGGTCGAAGCGGGAGTGAAATTTTGAGTTCCGGGAGAATTTCCCAGATTCCATGCAAAGTTGGGATGATTTCTCCAACCTGGATTGTAGGTTGGAGAAAATGGATCATTTCTAGGGTGCTGGAATGCAGCGTTCATCTGTTCTAATGAATTCATCTGTTCTATTGCGTTGTTATTTCCTAGGAGAGGGCATTCCTCTGAAACGTGGGTAGGAGACTGACAATTATGACATCCTGGGAAAGAAACATGATTGAGTTGAGCTGGAGCTCGTTCCTTAATTTCTAAGGCTTCTAACCTCCGCAGAATTGTCGCCATCTTCGCTTCAGAAGCAATGTTTGACTCCAAGGAAAGACCACTAGACTTAGAATAGGGAACTGATGAAACCCTGTCATCGCACTGTTCCCATTGCATTGTTTTTTCAGAAAGACTCTCCAAAAACTCCCAAGCTTCATCAGCATTTTTCCTCATAAAATCCCCGTGGCACATTGATTCTAAGGAAGTTTTTGCAGAATAATCTAATCCCTCATAAATTATTTGGCACAATCGCCATTTCTCTAAACCGTGATGAGGACATTGGATGAGAAGATCTTTAAATCGGTCAAAATACTTCCAAAAAGGTTCTCCCGGGATAATTTTAAAGTTTTGAATGCTGTTCCTAAGCTTTACCGTTTTATGAATAGGAAAAAATTTCTTAAGAAAAACGGTGACAAATTCATCCCAAGTTGAGATGGAATTTGTTGGTAAGCTGTACAGCCATTTTTTAGCTTTATCCTTAAGAGCAAATGGAATAAATCTAAGCTTAACCGCATCTTCATTTAATTCTCTCATTTTAATCATAATACACACTTCCTCAAATTCCGAAATAAAAATATATGCGTCTTCTGTTTCATTACCAAGGAATTTGGGAAGCATGTTTATGTATTGCGGTCTAAGCTCAAAACTTATTCCATTTGTTTCGGGGAGCCTAATGCATGAGGGGATTGCATTCCTAATGGGATAGCACATATCATGAAGAACGGGTGGATTAGGATGCTCCATTTCTATGATTGGTTCAAAGCGAATTAATCGATGTGTATTATCCCTAATCCACTGTTGCATACACCAAAATATTTCTTTTTATTATTTTTTTTATTTTTTATTTTTTTTCAGTATTTTGAAACCCTAGATCTGATCTGAGTTTGCTTTTCTCTGTTGTAGCTTTTTTTTCAATTTCTGCAGTTTCTGATCTGGGTACTCTTTATATCTCGATCTCTTCCGTTAAAATTGTCTGTTCTCTATGCTAATGGGTGCCTGCCTTATGTTCGATTTTATGCCGTATGAATTTTTTTTTTGATAAACCAAGTTACGTACTGGTTGATGATTGAGTGACTGTTGCCTTTTGTTGTTTGGTACTGTAATTTGGGAGAATATGTGTACACATGCACTCCCATATAAATAATTCTATTTGCCTGAATATAGAACTCAAAACCCATACTTGAAGGGAAAAGAAATCGGATCCAGATAGAATATGGATATTTACATGAAGATAGGAAGTTAATTTATTCTTTTGTAAGTATAAAAGATTTGAGTCATGAAGATTTGGATTCAACAGATGAGTTCTAGTTGTAAGTATCAACAGTTCTTTATTCTTTTGTATGCTTTAGATATTGTTTTTCGGAAATTCATCCAGTTGTATTCTAAGAGATAGAATGAGACATGGTCGTGGTTAATACTATGTACTAAACCAAATGTTGAGATCAGTTTGCTGGCTTCCTGTGTAGTTCTTCTATTTTCTTTGATAGAATGAACAGTCGAGAAGTTAATTTCCCCATGTTGTATCTAAGTTGAGGAATTATATTTTTGGTGAGCTCACATGTTAATTTGTTAGCTTAATGCATTTCTACCCCAGACGAGACTACTATTCAAGACTTTGCTGCTATTTTTGTTATTGTGTTGCTGCATAAACTGGTTGAATTAGCTCATTTAGGCATCCCTCGAATAATCGAAACTGATGTTAGATTATTGGATTTTAGTACTTCAATTCAACATGATGTATTTTATTTTGTGTATCACGAAAGACTAATGTGAGACAGAACAGGCACCTGATATTTCATATGAATGCACATAAGTTTTATCAATTATATTACTGTATTGGATTACTTGAAGCATCTCCATTTCCCTCTGCTGCTAATAAAGCTAGAGTAATGTTGTGAATATTACTGTTTAGACCATTTGCATCTGTCTGTGATTATTTTTTCAGTGCATTATTGGATTTAGTTATATGTTAGATTTAATGCCTGTATTCTGGTTTTCCATAATTGTCGTAGCTGACATTTTATGTCATTTACAATTTTGTATCATGGTTAAGATTGAACTCATTAGAAATTTCATATCATAGTATTACTGACTCTTGACATTATATAATATCTATCCCTGTCCCTTAACTGGAGGTTTATCTGTGTCATTTATGACACTTTTGACAATTTATTTTTGGTGAACATGGATTGATTTCCACTTTCTGAACTATTTGAGCCTACTGTCTTTAGTGGTCTTTACAGATGTTCAACCCATATATTTCATGTGTATCTACTTTCTGAAACGAAAATGCAACACTAAAACAAATTGCATGCTAGTGTCATAGTTTATATCTGAAGAACCTTAGGTGCGCACTTTTGATGTATTTTTCATTCTTGGAGTTCCATTTGTTCCCTCAAAATCATGTTTTTTGAAGTCATGAATTATGCTACAAAGATTAGCGCTTTAATTTACATCAACTAGAATGAGTTTGAGCTTGCTTTTAAGTAGCAGTTTGTCCTCTGATAAGAACCTGAACATGGTGCAAGGACCTTGAATACTTTACTTCGGTAATGCCTGAATTTCAAAGTAAACTGAGACTATGCGTGCACAGATGCTGGATTGACTGTAATGTTTTGTGGTAAATACACTAGTATTCTTGTTTGGATATTGTGTGATGGGAGACTTCCAGCATTAGAAGGTGAACTATCTATATGTATGTATGTGTGCATCCATATAACATAAATAATCAGTTAGTATATACTTCCAAATACTTCCAAGGTACATTGAATATGCAGATACACACTCCTATATCACATGATAACTTATAAATGGTGGTATAGGGTACTTCCAGTAAAAAGTGGCACTGTGTGCTTTTCTCAGGTTGGTTTTGTCACCTTCTTCCTAAATTCTGTCCTTGATAATCTAACATCAACAATTGTCATGGTCTCCTTGTTGAGAAAACTAGTGCCTCCATCAGAATACAGAAAGTACGCAATCCTGTACTTGTTTTCTTTTTCTTTTTTTAAAGGTTGATGGTCTTCATGATTCAACTTTGAAGTTCGATTTTTGTGCCATGGACTAATTGATGCTAAATTGTGTAATGTAGGACTCAAATTCTTCGAGACATGAAGTTGGGCGCATTGGAGAGAAAAGAGGAGAAGACTTGAAGGATAAATAGAGGATTCTAGATATGTTTTCTTTTAATAGTTTATGTTGTCGTAATTTGGCTTGTTGTAGCAAATCATGGTTACTTCTTATAGCAAATCATGGTTATCAACTACCTATGGCATGTTGTGTTTTAAATGAAGTATTATTGTGGAGTGTAGAGCTTCTTATGAGGAGTGTTTGCTAAACTGTTGTAGCAAATCATGGTTACTTCTTATAGCAAATCATGGTTATCAACTACCTATGGTATGTTGTGTTTTAAATGAAGGATTATTGTGGAGTGTAGAGCTTCTTATGAGGAGTGTTTGCTAAACTCTTTTGACTCGTCGAGTCTTTTATCATGGCTAGTTATTGGAGTAGTACTCTTGTTCTTTGGAGATTGAAGGTTGATGCAGTATTGGATGAAGCCATGAAAAAATGGCGTAATAATAAATATTTTGGACATTGTTATTATTTTTTGTATTCTCTCATACCGATTCATGAATGACAAGATGTTTGCATGTGTATTTATAATTGCTAATAAAGAGATCAAACTTCTGAGGGGGTCGTGAAATTTACCCTAACTTTTTCCTCAATATAAACCATAATGTCCGCATTTGATTTAATTATTAAGGAGTTAAGAGAGAGCATAAAATTTTTTAAAACACCAATTTCAAATCCAAATTCATGTATAATAAAGTGCATCCAAACATCAGATTTTAAATCTGTGATTTCAAATCCTTGCATTTAGTGATGACATCCAAACAAAAGATTTTATCAAATCATGGATTTCAAATTCTAGATTTGAAATCCCATGATTTTAAATCAACCTTTCAAATCCAAATCCAAGTTCTCAAACGCAGCCTATAATTATTCCGCCTCCCCCAAGACGTTTTCAACACTCCCAAAACCCCCAAAAACAAAGTCATAATTTCCTGAGCCCCCAAAACACAAAACCCAAGAGTTTAAAACATGTGAATACCATAATACTCTCTCTCTCTCTCTCTCTCTCTCTCTCTCTCTCTTTCTCTCTCTCTCTCTCTCTCTCTCTCTCTCTCTCTCTTTCATGATGTTATTGTGATGATTTGAAATGGGTTTTCGGAGGAAAAATTCTAGCTCCCTCCAAAATTTTCCAACGGCGTCAATGTCGGCGGTGAAACTTTCCTGACGTTTGTCATCGGCAGCAAAGAAAATTACGATCTTAAAGACGGTAATGACGAGTTGCGCGCCAACCCCTTTGGTTTACCTATTGTTGTAATTTTTTTTGAAATCGATGACTTAAGATTAAAGTAGAGTATATAAATTTATATATTGTTATTATTTCATTGTAATAAGTTTATATTTAAGCTTATGAGTTGGTGGAGAAGGAAGTTAACATGTTGGTTTTTGAATGTTACGAGTTGGTTGTGAAGTTTATGAGTTAGTTGCCAAGGGTACGTATCAGTTGTGAAGCTTACGAGTTGGTTATGAAAAGGTTACGAGTTGGGTATGAAAGTTACAAGTTGATTGTAAAGGTTACGTGTTGGTTTTCAAGGTTACGGGTTGGTTGTCAAAGATACAAGTTGGTTGTCAATAATACGAGTTGCTTGTGAAGGTTACACACTGGTTGTCAAGGTTACGAGTTGGTTGTGAAGGATACGCATTGGTTGTGAAAGTTACGAGTTAGTTGTGAATGTTACGCATTGGTTATGAAAGTTATGAGTTTGTTGTGAAGGTTTTGAGTTGTGAATATTATGAGTTGGTTGTGAACCTCAGCAATGAGTTGATTGTGATTGTTGTTAACTAACATTCACAACCAACGTGTAACCTTCACAACCAACTTATAACATTCACAACCAACGCGTATCCTTCACAACCAACTCGTAACACTTTTACAACCAACTCGTAACTTTCACAAGCGATGCATAACCTTCACAACCGACACGTAACCTTCACAACCAACGCGTATCCTTCACAATCAACTCGTAACCTTGACAACTAATGCGTAACCTTCACAATCAACGGGTAACCTTCACAACCAACTTGTATCCTTCACAACCAACTCGTATCATTGACAACTAACCCGTAACCTTGACAACCAACGTGTAAACTTTATAATCAACTCGTAACCTTCACGCCCAACTCGTAACCTTTTCATAACCAACTCGTAAGCTTCACAACCAACACGTACCCTTGGTAACTAACTCGTAACATTCACAACCGACACATAACCTTCACAACCAATGTGTATCCTTCACAACTAACTCGTAACATTGACAACTAATGTGTAACCCTCACAACCAATGCGTAACCATCATAACCAATATGTAACCATCACAACTAATGCATAACCTTCACAACCAACTCGTATCCTTGACAACCAACCTGTAACCTTGACAACCAACGCTTAACCGTCACATTCAACTCATAACCTTCACACCTAACTCGAAACCTTTTTATAACCAACTCGTAAGCTTCACAATCAACATGTACCCTTAGCAACTCACTCGTAAACTTCACAACCAACTCGTAACCTTCAAAACCAACACGTAACCTTCCTTCACCACCAACTCATAGCTTAACAATAAAATTATTACAGTGAAATAACAACAATATATAAATTTGCATACTCTACTTTAATCTCAAGTTATCGATTTCAAAAAAAATTACAACAATATGTAGAGTTAAGGGGGTTGGCGACACAACTCGCCATCACCGTCTTCAAGATTGTAGTTTTCTTCACCTCCGATGACAAACACCAGGAAAGTTTCACCGCCGATGTCGACGTCGTTGAAAAATTTGGAGGAAAAAAAATTGTAAAGAAGGCCCCCAAAGAGAATCATAGAGAGAGAGAGAGAGAGAGAGAGAGAGAGAGAGAGAGAGAGAAAGGGTATTATGGTCTTCACATGTTTTAAACTCTTAGGTTTTGTGTTTTGAGGACTCAGGTGATTATGGCTTTGCTTTTGGGGGTTTTGGGAGCGTTGAAAAAATCTTGGGAGGGGGCAGAATACTTGTAAGGAAGTTGGGGGCTAGAAGCAATTTTCCCTTTTTTTTTCCTTGATGGCTTGATAAAGCCTAGATGTCTAAAGGAGTATTTATAGAGCATTCTATCCATGCCTTATATTTGTAAGAAGCTACATTTCAAAATTGATGATTATTTCCTTACAATCTTCGCAATGTAAGTTGTAACCTATAAGATGTTACATAAAGACATTGCATACCTTCCATCCTTCTCTCGATTGGCTCAGTAGAAACTATTATTGCTCAATGAATGCTAAGTCTTTCTCAATTGACACCAACCCCAGTTGCTGCAAACTCAAAGTCAACTATAGGCTTGCTAGAGGCTATAACATGACTCCACCTGAAGTTTGGACTCCCATATAACCATAGGATCCTCTACATTCTTAATTATTAGAAGATGCATACAATTTACCAATAACAACTCTTCATTCTGTTGACCTCATGTATTATATTTTATTGGTTTCCCACGAGATATCCCCACACCTTTCGGATGGGACTAATCCACATTCATGCTTCGTCGCTAGCACCGGCTCGAGGGGGTTTTACCTGCAAGGAGATTTGACCATGGGACTTTTCACTATGGATCATTCTTCAATAGGAGCGCAATAGGGCATTACACCGTTGCACCATCCTTGAGGGTTGAACCCCATGTATTATATAAATCAAATAAATTTTATAAAAAATCTTTTAGTTGTGGGGCCTTTTAGATCAACCAATCATATTCAACTGCTTAAGTAAATGTAGAAATTCTATACAATCTAGGATATAGAGGATCTCTTCCCATATAACTCCTTTACAAGCTTCCTTAGGAACTCAAGTTTGGCTTAAATTTTTCTTCCTTGAGCTTGAAAACAAAGCTCCACCTTGAACTAGAAAGCAATGAAGGGATTACTATGTTTGATTACAAGCACCAATATTTTTGGGGAATATAACCGTCAATTATTTAAGTTGACTATTGTGATTTATTTTGAGTAAAAAAAAGGAACCTTGCAAAATAATAAAGATATGATAAATATCTAAATTTAGAGTGAATTGCAATCATCCATTTCATAGACGGTTCTAAGAAAAAGTAATGACCTCTATACTATACCTTTGTCAACGGCGTTAAGGATCCAAAACCGATTATAACTAATCTCCATCCTGCAACTCGGCTTGGTATATTCCTACATTTTTTTGATAGTGCATATGCTTTGCATGATCACAATAGCAACAAATTCATGAGCTTTTAGGACCTTATTTATATCCAATATCTTTATATTATCTTAACGAAATACTCTTTATACAAAACATAGTAGCCCGCTGGATTCATCGGCCTCCTCCTGACAGAGAAATGGAAGTAAACGACATCATATAATCCTCAAACCCCAAATCAGCCGGCAAAGCCACACTCCCAAAGCTCAAACAATCCGGCGTAACCTCCGGCGGTCGAACATCTCCATCAAGGATCTGCATCACTTGCCTCATGCTCGGCCTCACTCCCGCTATTGGATGCGAGCACAGCAAACCAAGTTTCAATACCAAATCAACCTCATCGACGTTGTAGTCCTCCTCCGTTAATCTTGAATCCATTGTCTCAATCAACGCTCCTCGTTTCCAGTTTTCAATCACATAGTCTATAAGAATGAACCCATTCTCGGCGCTAGGCTGAACCGGTCTCTTACCACAGACCACTTCAAGTACGAAAACCCCGAACGAATAAACATCGGTCAGAGTGGTTGCTTTACCGTTCCTATTAATCTCAGGCGCAAGATAGCCTATTGTTCCGACGACGCGAGTCGTTGACGGGTCGGATCCATGATCGTACAATCTTGCGAGCCCGAAATCGCCCAGCCTCCCGTTCATTTCGCTATCTAATAGCACATTGCTCGCCTTGATGTCTCTATGGACTACAACTTTCTCCCAATCTTCGTGTAGGTATAAGAGACCGGACGCTACTCCTTTGATGATTTTGAACCTATTAAGATCGAAGAGAACAATCTTTATATTGATTATTGATAGGAAGATGAGTACATATATATTTACACAAGTCCGTAAGTTCATATAGAAATTAAGTCCTAGAGAAAAGCTAGAAATAAAGATAAATATGGAAGGAAAAGTGTGCGATCCATAAAGTGTTGTGCGCAGCGGAAATTTCAGCAGAGTTTCTGGTGCACAATAAGAGAAAGATCGCAATAAGAATTCTCGTCTCACCAAGGAAACAAGAATCTGAAGCGAATATCTCAACAAAGTGAGATATCGGCTCTTCCTTTCATCAGTTCTAAGACTGACCTGTCGAGGGATCCTAAAAACTATTACAATGGCCACAAACTTCTGAGTATGTGAGTGTAGTTTGGAAGAGGTCGCCTAGTTAGCATTATTGTGTGTATATATATAGTAAAGCTCCTATAAACTTAAGTGGATAGGAGCCATTTGTCTATCAACTTTTTTATCCATCGATTTTGTATTGAGAATTGTGCTAGCATGTGATACAAATTAAGGCACAAATCTCAAAGATAGACTTGATGAGTAGCACAAATCTCAAAACATAATGAAGGGATGAAAAGGTTGGTGGACAAGTGCTCATATCCACTTAAGTTTATAAGAGTTTTACTTTATATATATACTATGTATTTGTATCAAATATAGAAGATAGGATATTCAGGAGAATATATTAAAACCTTTGAGCCCAATTGAGAGTAGACTTTCGTTCATCGTATAAGAATTTGTCCAGGCTACCATTAGGCATGAAGTCATATACTAAGAGAAGTTCCCCTTTCCGTCGACAGTAGCCTAACAGTTGTACGAGATTTCGATGGCGAAGCTGGCCGATGCTGACAATTTCGGCGATGAACTCTTTCATACCTTGCCTTGATTCATGAGAGACTCTCTTAACTGCAACCTCAATCATTGAAGGAGATAACACCCCTTTGTAGACTCTACCGAATCCTCCGGTCCCCAGTAACTCTCTCTCTTTGAATCCTTTCGTTGCTCGAAAAAGGTCTTTATATGAGAACCGATGAGGTCCATATTGAATCTCCCAGTCTTCGAGTAATTCAGCATATTTTCTCCTTCTTCGAACAATAAGATAGACCGCGATAATGATGAATAACATAGAAGAGGTAGAAGCGATAGGCAGCCATATTGCTAAAACATTCACGCCGTCTTTATTTTTATTACGAGGAAGCGGAGGAAGCTTATCGTAATCGAGCTTTTCAGACTCTCCGTTCATCTTGAAGCTCCATCCGAGAACACAATGAGTTGTGTGAATTGAGCCTGTCGCTGAAGAGAAACCAACATACATCGAATCGAGCATTAAGCTAGAAAGATCGATTTTCGTCGATAGGAGGGGTTTATTAGGCTTAGGCATTCGGATTGGAGATAATGTAACGTTTAGTTCCATTTCTTCGCCCTCGAAATCTACCCACAACTGCATAGGCTGGCCACTCATCAGAGTCAAGTTCTTGAAAACACCAGTTTTATCGTCGTAATAACCAGCATCATGAGACTTGTTAGACATCAAACTGTTTATATCGATGCCAACATGATTCTCGCTAATATCATTGAACTCAGAGTTATATACTGTGTCGAGCTCAACGGAGAATACGTGATTACTTGCATTACCATTGTTGTTAATATTGAACAGGCCTAAGTACTTGCTCTGAAGAGCAGAGGAGAAGTTCATCGTCGGGGAGACCACGAAGGCGATGCCGTGGCCACTGGAGTCGGATATCTCGGATAAAATAGCGAACACGAATGTTGTGGAGAAGGAGAGGGTTTTGCCGGCGGGTGATTTGAAGTGAAGTGGGCTTGGATGGAAAGCGTGGCCTTTCATTTGCGCTGTGGTGTTGGTGAGCTTGAGTAAGCCGTTGGAGGTTACCGATGCGACTCCGTCCAGTTTTAGGTTGGCGTCGGTGAATCCGTTGAAGATGAAGGATTCTGAAGTTGGAGCTGAGATTGTAAATTTGAGGAGGAGGAAGAGGAGGAGGCAGAAAGGGCCTGTCAGTGTTAATGACATGCTGAGTCCTGCGAACTAGGGAGCTGCTTCAAAAGGATACAAGTAGTTCTAAACTTCGTGGGTTAATTGTAAATGGACCCCCGTACTGTCACCCAATTGCAAATAGACCCATTTTATGGTAAGACTTCATTTGTCTGACCCTTTTCAGACCTCAGAACAGTGAAAGCATCATACAATGGATTTCTTAGAGAGTTTTTAGTCATGACCATCCGTCTCTTGCTTATATTTGTTATTTTCTTGGTGAATCTTATATATTTCTGCTTTTTTACTTCGTTATAAGTCGTGTCGTTACTTAGAATGTTTACCTAAATTCTTTTTAATAAACAACAAGGGCTACATATGCATCTGTCTTTCTGAAAAGAAAACTCCCAAAATAGTAGCTATTTAAAAAAGTTAATAAGCAACCAAAGAGGTTAAACATTCTTTTATTGTTATATGTTGCCTCAAATACTCAAATCCATATTGCTTTGGGAGTTTTTTTTAGGTTGGTTTGTTTTGACCAAGAGTCCTACTTATATTAGACTTTGCACAATCAATCATATTAGAGGTTTATTTCTACTTGGACTCTTGTTGGGTTTTAGGACACGTGGACTTCAACTCTTATACCTTAGACAACAAGGAGATGAGATCTTCAATGCTATATAAGAACCGTCTTTCAAGCCAATTAGATTCATCAACCTTCAAAGCATCAATCAAGAAGAGAGAGTTCTTCTGTGAAGCCTATTTGATATTCTTCTCTTTTATTCCTTTAGTTGAGAGTTGTATTAGACTTTTGGGGTGTTATTTGGGATTGAGAGATTAAGAGGTTCCACTTTGTATTCCTCACAATTAGTAAAGTTTTTCTCCTCCTTCGCCCGTGGATGTAGGCTAAAAGTCGAACCACGTATATCTTTGTATTCGTGTGTTCTTGATATTTTTCGTGCTCACGTGTGATTGATATTAGCTTATCCTGAGGAATTTTTCATAACAAATTGGTATCAGAGCCCTCAGCTATCGATCAACGAGAAGATGACGACAACTACTACGAAGTGGGATATCGAGAAGTTTGATGGTAACACCAGTTTCAGCTTTTGGCAAGTTAGGATGATCACCGTGTTGACACAGAGTGGATTGAAGAAAGCTTTGCTCGGAAAGTCAAAGAAACCGATTACTGTGACGGAGGAAGATTAGAACGAGTTGGATGATAGAGCTCTCATAGCGATCCATTTATATTTGACAAACAAAGTTTTACAAGAAGTTCTCATGGAGAAGACAACTGCTGATTTATGGTCTAAATTAGAGGATTTGTATTCGACGGAGTCGCTCACTAATCGCTTCCTCTTGAAGCAGTGTTTATACACACTTCGAATGTCGGAAGGAACACCCATTAAATCTCATATTTGTGAATTTAATTCTGTGATTGCAGATTTGAGTAAGATTTATGTTAAGATTGATGATGAAGATCAAGCCCTATTTTTATTATGTTCTTTGCCGCCTTCCTACAAGCATTTCAAGGATACTATGATTTGCGGTCAAGATTCTATTAGTATCAAGGACGTCAAAGAGAACTTATTGAATAAGAGGAAGATCGACAAAGAGTTAACCACAAGTGAAAGTGGCGATAAAGCTGATGGCTTATTTGTTCGAGGAAGATCGGAAAAAAGGGGATTTGGAGATAACAAGTATAAGTCGAAGTACAAGAATCTGACCTGCAGATATTACAAGAAGAAAGGGCACATCAAGACCGATTGTTACAGATTGAAGAACAAAAATAAACAAGAAGAGTATGAAGAAAAATCAAAGGAGGACTCCGTAGAAGTTGATATTACTGAAAATGTGATTTTGTTGGCTACAAATGATATAAACAGGAGCATGGATGATTGGATTTTGGATTCGGGTTGTTTCTATCATATTTGTCCTAATCGAGACCGGTTCACCACTTATGAAGCTATTGATGGTGAAGTTGTTCTTATGGAGAACAACGTCTCATACAAGACTATTAGGAAGGCACAATTCAGATTAAGATGCATGATGGAATCATCAGGAATTTGATAGATGTTAGGCATATTCTAGGTTTAAGGAAGAATCTCATCTCTTTGGGCACTCTTGATAGCATTTGGTGCAATTTTTTAGATGAATGTGGAGTTCTTAGGGTTACAAAAGGCTCTCTTGTGGTTATGAAAGGAAAGAAGATCGGCAGTTTGTATGTTTTGTAGGGTTCTACCAATACCGGCTCGGCTGCAGTTGCATCCTCGATGTCAGGAGTTGATACTACCAGATTATGGAATATGAGATTTGGTCATATGAGTGAGCGCAGATTTACCGAGTTGTGTAAGAAGGGTCTTTTATGTGGACAGAGTATAAAAAAATTGTGATTGTGCGAGTATTGCATCTTTGGGAAGTAGAAAAGAGTCAGCTTCAGTACAACAGTGCATCACACTAAATGTACTTTGGATTATATCCATTTAGATCTTTAGGGACCTTCTCAAGTTACCTCGAGGAGTGGTAAATCTTGATATTTGTTGACCTTCATTGATGACTACTCCAGGAAGGTTTGAGTCTACTTTTTGAGACATAAAGATGAGGTGTTTGTGAATTTCAAACAATAAAAGACTTTGATTAAGAAGAAGACTAGGAGGCTGATTAAGAGGCTTAGAACTGATAATGGCCTTGAGTTTTGTGGAGGAGAATTTAATAAGTTCTGCAAGAAGGAGGGAATCGTTATCCATCATACAGTCTCTCGTAAGACGCAACAGAATGGAGTGGCATAATGTATGAACAGAACCTTATTGGAGAAAGCTCATTGTATGATGTTCAATGCAAGCTTAGGCAAGGAATACTGGGCGGAAGCAGTGAATACGACTTGTTACTTAGTGAATCGGTCGCCATCTACTGCTATTAGTTGTAAAACTCCAGAGGAGGTTTGGTCCAGTAAGCCTATGAATTATTCTAATCTTAGAATATTTGGTTGCCATGCATATGTGCATGTTAGTCAAGGGAAACTTGAGCCGCGAGCAAAGAAGTGCATATTCCTAGGTTATGCATCAGGTGTTAAGGGTTTTAGGTTGTAGTGTCCTGATCCGGAGTCTCCTAAGATTATTATCAGCCGTGATGTTATTTTTGATGAGTCTGCTATGTTCCACCAGAAACGATCATCGGTTTTAGTTGATGATAAGGCACGCACTACAAGAGTAATTAATGTATAGAGTTAAAAATTAGTTGATTCAACTCTCAGCGAGGATAAACCTACAGGAGGTTTAGCAGCTAGATCTTGTTCAAGTAGATGAAGTACATACAGTATTGCTAGAGATCGGTCTAGATGAGATATCTGACCACACGAAGATATGAAGATACGGTAGCTTATGCATTTTCGGTTGATAATTTTGTGCCCTTCAGCTATTCAGGAGCTACTTCAGTTGATGACTTCGCTAATATTTACGGTCGTCGTGCAGACAATTCAGTCGATTTGTTGAGGAGGACTCTTTCAGTTAGCAAGTTCAAGTCGGGCTTGGACTTGATCGATATGTGTCGTACTTAGATGCCCTGCGGGGCTATTGGAGAAGGTTAAGTAAACTAGCTTATTTTGGAGTAAGGAATCTTCTACGCATTTGAGTCAAGGTGGAGATTTGTTATAGGTTGCCTCAAATACTCAAATCCATATTGCTTTAGGAGTTCTTTTTTAGATTGGTTTGTTTTAATCAATAGCCCTACTTACATTAGACTTTGCACAACCAATCATATTAGAGGTTTATTTCTACTTGGACTCTTGTTGGGTTTTAGGACATGTAGACTTCTATTCCTATTAGAACTCTTATTCTTTAGACAACAAGGAGCTGGGATCTTCAATGCTGTATAAGAACAGTCTTTCAATTCAATTAGATTCATCAATCTTCAGAGCATCAATCAAGAAGAGAGAGTTCTTCTGTGAAGCTTATTTGATATTCTTCTCTTTTATTCCTTTAGTTAAGAGTTGTATTAGGCTTTTGGGGTGTTATTTGGGATAGAGAGATTGAGAGGTTCCATTTTGTACTCCTCACAATTAGTAAAGCTTTTCTCCTCCTTCGCCCGTGGACGTAAGCTATAAGCCGAACCACGTATATCTTTGTGTTTGTGTGTTCTTGATATTTTTCGTGCTCTCGTGTGATTGATATTAGTTTATCCTGGGGAATTTGTCATAACAGTTATCCATATAAACTTAAGAAAAAAAAATCTGAAGAATTGGTTGATTATTCAACTCTGCTTTTGCCCTGTCAGTATCATTAACTATTCAAAACCTGTCTATTTTTTTGTTAAGGGACTATGTCTCAAGTCAAGATTCTTCACATCAGACTTGTCAAATTATTGACAGAATGAATGCATTTGGGTCTGGAGAAGAGCCAAAAGTCACCATGTAAGTTTGTTAGCCTGAATTTGCTAATTGTTAATAGGTAACGTAATACATTAAATAGCCAAAGTCTTTTGCCTTTGAAATCTTGCATTGAACCTTGGCCAAAGTCTACTCAAAAGCCATCAAGGATGCTCAACTTTCCTCTCGTGTGCTTGTTAATTGTCCAGGTTCCCGCGCTGTTAAAGCTTGAGAACAACAGGCTTCTTGCCTGCTAAAAATCTACGTAGAAGTTTTTTCCACCTCACGTCGATGGCTACTTAAAGAAACGAAGCAAAGAAATATGTTTGTGAAGTTATAAAGACCCTAGTTCTTAACAGTTGGAGACATTAATTGTGATAGTGAGAAGCGATTCGGATCCTCTCCACTATTTAAAAAGTAGTGGAGGGACCACTACATAATCATAACCATTGATTATCTAGTTAGTGGTTGTGATTTTTTTCTTTGGGTGCAAATTAGGAATGAGTGCAATACGCGGAGGCATGGTGAGTGTTAGATTTAGATTGTGTCATAACCGCCTACTAAGTAATCAACGATTGAGATTAGCTTTTGAGTAATTTAAACTTTTCCTTGTTTAACTAGTGGTATCTTTTTAAACAAGTTAAATAATTAATCTCTTTCTTCACATTAGAGTTGCTTGCAAATAAATA